TGCAGCCCCACAAGAGGAGACAAAGTATTAAAATATTAATATGTATATATATATATATATATTATATTACATATCTATATTATATTACATATTATATATTATAATATTTTATATATTATATATTAAAATTATTATATATTATATGTAATATATATTATATATATTATACATATTATATATATTAATTGTTTAGATTATGAAAGCATTTAAAACAAACAAATGCACTAAAAGCTGAAAGCAGCAGAAACAAAGAAGAGGCAAAAATAAACAAAAAAACAAAAAACAATCAAAGACAAATAAATAAATAAAACAAATAAATAAGACAAATAAATAAAATAAATAAATAAAACAAATAAATAAAACAAATAAATAAAATAAATAAATAAAACAGAAAGAAGAAAGAGATAAATAATTCAGCTGCTGCACCTGGAGAGGAAGTTCGAGGCCGATGGCGTCTGCCTGCCGCAGCAGATGAAGGATTTGCTGCTGCTGCTGCTGCTGTTGCTGCTGCGCTGCAGCAGCAGCAGCAGCAGCTTCTCCCTTCTCACGCAGCAGACGGTCAGACTGCTCTCGCAGCTGCTGCAGCTCTGTCTCCACCTCCTGCAGCATCTTTTGCTGCTGCTGCTGCTGCTGCAGCCGCTCCTGGTGCTGCTGCTCTGCCTCAGCCAGCTGTCGCTCATAGGTAGCTAGCTGCTGCACCGCTTGCTGCTCTTGCTGCTGCTGCTGCACAGCAGCACGCGCTGCTTCTGATGCTGCTGCTGCAGCCTCAAGGCGACTGCGGCAATCCTTGAGTTCTGCTTCTAGCCGCAGCTGCTGCACATGCAGTTTTGCTGCTGCGCTTCGCTGCTGCTGTTGCTGCTGCTGCTGCAGCAGCAACTCCCTTAACTCTCCTTGTGGCAGCTTCAACTCCTCACTAACTCCAACCATCGCTGCTGCCTGAGCGTCAGCAGAGGCCTCTTGCAGCTGCAACAGCAGCAGCAGCAGCAGCAACAGCAACACCAGTGCAGCAACAGCAACAGCAACAGCAGCAGCAGCAGCAGCAAAGTATATTTCGTCAGAAATGCATTTCTGTTAGTTTGAAATTTATGTGCATATTTTATTTATTTATTTTTATTTGTTTATATAATTATATCTATTACATTAATTTTATTATATTAATAATTATTTATTTATTTATCTTACAGTCTCAACTTCATTCGATAGTGCTGCAGTCCGTTGCCGCTGAAGTTCGCAGCGTTGCTGCAGATTTGCATGCTGCTGCTGCAGCTGCTCTAGCTGCTGTTGCTGCTGCTCCTGCTGCTGCTCCCAGGCCTTTTGCTTCGTTTGCTGCTGCAGCGCCAGCCGGTGCAGCCGGTTTAGCTGCTGCTGCTTCCTCCCTACAAACTCAGCGCTGCCGCTCTGCATGCAATCCGCAGCAGCAGCAGCAGCAGCAGCAGCAGCAGCAGCAGCAAGAGTTTAGGGTTTAGAGGAAAGGTGCTGGGATATAGAGGTGAGGGTTTAGGATTAGTGGTTTTTAGATTAAACAGCTTAGGGCTTCGATATAAGGAATTAGGGTTTAGGGTCTTTAGGGTTTAGGGTTTAGGGTTTAGCTGCACTTCAATGGCGTCTATCTTGCGCAGTTCTGCTGCAACTTCTTCGGCTCTTCGCAGCAGTTCTGCATGCTGCACCGCTTGCATGCGCCCAGCAGCAGCAGCAGCAGCAGCAGCAGCCCCAGCTCCAGCAGCAGCTGCTGTTGCTGTTGCTGCTCCTGCTGTTGCTTCTATAGAAAACACACCGCTGTGCTGCAGCCTCTCGCCTTCCAGAGTAACGAAGCGGAAACGATTAAAAATATTATTTTTTAATTGCTGCGCTATCATCAAAGAGGGGACGACAATGCAGTCCGATAGGATAAACTGCAGCAAACCACAAACCACAAACCCTAAACCCTAAACCCTAAACCCTAAACCGAGCATTCCAGCACTTGCTTGCAAAGGTATATACACAAGTCAATAATAAAATGTTATACACTTATATACTATGGATAAGCAACAGCAGCAACAGCAGCAGCAGCAGCAGCAGCAGCAGCAGCAGAAGCAGCTAACTTCAGCAACAGGTCTGAGTTGCTGCTCGCAGTTTATGCAATCAACAGCCCAGCGGCAGTTAGGGGGTAAGTCCTCAGCGTTTGGAGGAGAGAAGAATCTGCTGCCTTCAGTATGAAGATCTTGCTGCTGCTCCTCGCTGCTGCTGCTGCTGCTGCTGCAGCGGAGTTGCTGCTCCCGCAGCCGGTCGAGAGGCAAAATATCTACAGCAGCATGATTGTTGTCTTTTAAATATTGTATAACTTCCTGCATTTGCATGCATGCAGCGCAGCAGCAGCAGCAGTAGTAGTAGTGGAAGCAGCAGCAGAAGCAATAGAAGCAGCAGCAGCAGCAGCAGTAGAAACAGCAGCAGCAGCACTAGTAGTAGGGGTGCTGCACAGTGCTACAGCATAGCATAGGCACAACGAGGGGTTAGGGTTTAGGGTTTAGGGTTTAGGGTTTACGTGTGCAGCAGCTACGTCCTTCACCACCAGAGCACCGCTCCAGCGGCCGAGAGCAGCAGCAGCAGCAGCAGCAAATCTTCTGGCTGAGGGGCGTATGCAGTCAGCAGCAAACCCAAACACAGCGTTCTGCAGCTTGCTGCTCTGCGACAACTCTTTTAGCAGCAGAAGCTGCTGCTGATGCTGCTGCGTCTCCTGCTGCTCTACCCGCACAAACAAAAGCTGCTGCTGCAGCTCAACCTGCAGCTGCTGCAGCTCCTCACGCCGAGCTGAACTCGCCTGCACTCGCAAAACCCTTAACCCTAAACCCTAAACCCTAAACCCTAAATCCTAAACCCTAGCTCAAGCAGCGGGTGAGGAAAGCAAACTTCAAGATAAATCGTAAGGGTTTGCGTCTGGCGTTTAGAGATTAGGGCTTAGGGTTTAGGGTTTAGGGTTTATTACGCTTGTATTTTCTGTTGCTTCTTTGAGCGACTCCTTGACTGTGACTGCATCCGCCAGCAGCTGCTGCAGTGTCTCCGCAGCTGCTGTTTGTTTTTGTTTTGCTTCTTCCTGCATGCGCTCCCACCCCCTTAAACCCTAAACCCTAAACCCTAAACCCTAAACCCTAAAGCCTAGGCACGCTATGCTGTAATCCTGGTGTTCTTAGCGCCCCGCAAACCCTTTTAAAGAGATAAAACCCTAGGGCTTCTAAGCGTCTCTCCACATGAAAGGAAACCCCAAGCAAACCCTAAACCCTAAACCCTAAACCCTAAACCCTCAGAGGAGGTTCTTTGCTGCTTACCGCCAACTCACGCAGACAGCCAATGCGGCGCTCAAGCTCCAGGCACTCTCTTTCTAACTGTACACGCAGCAAACCAACCAGCAGCAGCAGCAGCAGCAGCAGCAGCAGCAGCAGCAGCAGCAAGCGTGCAAGTTCCATTTTGTAGCAGCAGCCGTTTGCTGCTGGTTTTTGCTGCTAGCGTAAAAAGATGTTCGGCTTATGCTGCTGCTGCTGCTGTTATTGCTGATGCTGTTTTTGTTATAGCTGCTTCCGTTCTTGCTGCTGCTGCTACGGCTACTGTTGCTATTGCTGCTGCTGCTGCTGCTGCTGCGGTGAACAGAGACGCACAATATCTAAAGCGCTTGTTGCTTGCTGCAGCAGCGGCTGCTTTTTCGCTATTTGCTGCTTGACGTCTGTAAGTTTGCTGTCGGCTTGCTGCTGCAGGAGCAGCAGCTGCTGCTGCTGCTCCTTAGACAGCTTCTGCTGCAGCGCCTCTTCTTTTTCTTTAGCGGCACTTTTTATTTGCTGCTGCTCGTCGAAGAGACGAATTACCTCAGAGGAAAGCTGCACATACACCGCAAATGATAAACCCTTGGGGTTTAGGGTTTACGCCTCATGTGCATCTGCTACCCCCCTTGGTGTTTAGGGTTTAGGGTTTAGGGTTTCTCACCTCTGCTTCAAGCGCCTTAAGCGCGCGGCACTCCTCTTCCTTTTGCTGCAGCTTTTGCTGCTGCTGCTGCTGCTGCTGCTCAGCAAACCGCAGGCGCTCCAAACACTCCGCGAGTCCACTGCGCTGCAGAGAAACAAAACAAGGGTTTAGGGTCTAGGGTTTGCGGTTTAGGGTTTGCAGCCTAGCGCATTGGCGCCTGGGGTTTAGGGTTTGAAGTCTAGGGTTTGGAGCCGAGGGAGCCTAAGGATTCGTGTTTAGGGGTCTAGGGATAGGTGTGTAGGGTTTAGGGTTTGGGGTTTAGGGTTTAGGGTTTAGGGTTTTACCAGCATGTTGGTTTTCATAGCGCTTTTTTCTGTTAGGGTTTTTTTCTGCTCAAGTTGAAGAGACAGACGAATTCGTTTGCTGTCTGCTGTTTCTGCTTGCTGCAGCTTCTGCTGCAGCTGCAGCAGCAGCATCTCGGCGCGCTGCGTCTCCTCGTTTGCTCGCTGCTGCTGCTGCTGCTGCTGGCATTCAGCAGCAAACAGCTGATAGATAAAACCCTGAACTTGCAGACTTTGCTGCAAAGGAGACAGCAGGAGACATCAGAAAAAGAAAAGGAGACAGTAAAAGACATAAACAATCAAAGCCAAGAGACAAACACACTCAACACACATCACCCCAACGCCAAACCCTAAACCCTAAACCCTAAACCCTAAAGCCTTGAAAGCTTGTGCTGCTGCTGCTGCTGCTGTTGCCGCTGCTGCATGCTCATGTGTGTAAGAGACCCACGTGCTGCTGCTGCATTTCTTTAAAGGCTTCTGCTTCGCGCTGCTGCGCCCGCAGCACTCGCAAGGCAGCCAGCAGCTGCTGTTTGCTGCTGAAGGTCTGGCGTGCCTCCGAGTGCAGCGCTGCTGCTTCTGCTGCAGCAGCAGCAAACTGCTCCGCCCATTCCTCGCTGCAGCGCAACACAGTAGCAGCAGCAGCAACAGCAGCAGCTCCAAACCCCTCGGCAGATTCGCGTAGAATACACACCCTAAACCCTAATTTCTAAACCCTAAACCCTAATTTCTGACTGCAGTTCCCTGTTCGCTATGCGTAAACCCTAAATCCTAAACCCTAAACCCTAAACCCTAAACCCTAACCTGCTGCCGACGCGCTCTATGAGGCGTGTGAGCTCTAGAGGAGATCGAGCGGCGGCCGTCACAGAGGAGTCCCCCTGAACCCTCAGCACCCAGCGGCAGCAGCAGCAGCAGCAGCAGCAGCAGCAAGTAGGACAATGCATCAGCAGGGAGCCCGAAAGGAGATTCAGGCAGCAAGAAGAATAACTACAAAAGCAAACCAACAGACGGAGACAAAGGCAAACGAGACGCAGCGCAGCAGCAGCAGCAAACTGCAGCAGCAAGTCTTGATCGCTACGATGCGTATCTGCACCTGCAGCAACAAGGAGGCAGCCATTGTGTGGGGAGCGAAAGACAGCTTCTCGCTGAGGACTCGAAGATATTCTTCTGCTGTTACGCGTCGCCCATCTACGGTGTACGTACAGCTGTTGCTGCTGCTGCTTATTTGTCGCCGCAGCAGCAGCACCTCCCCCTCAGACGCAGCAGCAGCACGACGCCGGAAGTGTAGAGACACCGCAGTGCTGCAACAACAAATGCAACAGGCAGCAGCAGCGCATGCCCACGCGCATGCAGCACAAACACAAGCAGCAGAAACAGCAGCCACAGCAGCAGAACCACCAGCAGCAGCAGCAACAGCAACAACAGCAGCAACAACAGCAGCAGCAGGGGGGCTTTCTTACAGATTTCTATCTTCTTCTTCTGAGGTTGCATGCCTCAAATCTGTTAACGCGTTGCTGCGCAAACTGCGGCCGTTGACTCCGAGACCAAAACAAATGGCGTCCGCGATGTTGCTCTTACCTGAACGCTCCAAACCCTAAACCCTAAACCCTAAACCCTAATCGCTAGGCGCTAACCAGGCAAGGGTTTGCGGGCCCCAACAAAAGGGCTCTCCTAAACCCTCAGCCTATTTCCTTAGGGTGTAGGGCTTAGGGTTTAGGGTTTAGGGTTTGTGTCTGCAGCTTTGTTTGTTTTGTGATGCTGTGGGGTGTATATGCAGCTCGGGTATGAGGAGTAGACGGCGAGAGATTTGATGCGCAGTATTAATACTGTACATTAAATTAATTATAATTATACATTTCATATAGATAAATAGATATAGATATAGATATAGATATAGATATAGATATAGATATAGATATAGATATAGATATATAGATATAGACATAGATATAGATACAGATGTAGATATATAGATATATACATATAGAAATATAGAAATAGATATATTTATTGCAATTGTAAGCATTCTTTCTGGGGTTGACAGACCTGATCCGTTTGCTCCTATGATGGCGACGCTGCTTTGTAGGGGCCCAATGACGTGTTTGCCTCTGTATGATTTAAAATTCTCTAAGACAATATACTCCAGAAAGAATCGAGGAGAAACAGCAGCAGCGGGCTGCTGCTGCTGCTGCTGCTGGTCTTCTTGCTGCTGTTGCTGAGGCTGCTGAGGCTGCTGAGTTTGGGAGGTGTCTTCAAAGAGAGAGGCTATCGAGCAAGGAAATGCAGAGGCAACAGGAGGCTGCGAGATGCTGCTGCTGCGCTGCTGCTCCTCTGGTAGCGCTAAACCCCAACCTCCGCTCGATAGTGCAGGAGAATCGCATTCCATAGATGCTAAATGCTGCTGCTGCTGCTGCTGCTGTTGCTGCGTTTGTTGCTCGTGCTGCTGCTGCTGTCTGCTGTCAACGCTGCCACCTAGGCTGCTGGGTGTAGGAAGATCCATTGTTCCCCTGCAGCTGCGGCTGCAAGCGGAAAACGGGAAGTAAATCAGCAGCAGCTGAAGCAACAGCAGCAGCAGCAGCAGCAGCAGCAGCAGCAGCCGCTGCAGCGCATTCCACTGGGAGGTGGGGGCCTCAAACCGGGCCTCGTTGCATGCTGAACATCAAAAAGCAATCAACGAACTCAAAGCAGAAAAGAAAAAAGAAATAGAGCAACAGATTACAGAGGTCGGGAAGGAGTCTTTGTTATGCCCTCATGCACACCTCGGCAGCTACAGCTGCAGGAGCAGCAGCCTATTGAGCTGGAAAACAGGAGAAGACACTAAAAAGCAAATAGAGTATAAAAATATAGAATAGCTCAGAAGAAGAAAGCACAAATTTTCCCACGAAGTGTTGCAACCACTTAGCAGATTCTGGGGGTGGGGTTGTCGTTGTTCAAGCCCTGCTAGGAGTGAAAGCAGGGAAAACTTTGCAAATTTTAGCCTGAATTCTTTTTTATAAATAAACAAAACAATTTATTTATCTATATAGCTAAGTTTTCATGGAAAAAAGTGCCGCTTTCCCTCGCTTTCATGCGCATTCTCGCCAAGTTGGTGGCGGTGTATGGCGGCCACCAACCCCGAGAAGGCTGTAGTGAAGAAAGATGGTAAATCCAGGAACGAGTATAATATAAGCAAAAAAAAGAAGGGATTTATTGAAAAACTTTGAGCGAGAAGATCTAACAATTAAAAGTTAAGGTGAATTGGTGAATCTGAACCATGTACACCGCAAGCTGGACGCCAACAATCACCGATGCGCAACTCCCTGCAAAGTAGATGCTGAAATAACATTTTCTCTTCATCGAAATACAAAAATAACCATTTTCTAGAATCATAAAAGAAGAATGGATATTAAAAGAAGAGGGTTTCTCGCCAACTTTAGTCAGCTTCGGCAGACTATCAACTTTTTGCGCCTGTCATCAACAATTCAGAATGAGATTATGAATTGCTGAAGACGATGAAACACAGGTTTTTCTCCAGCTAAAAAAGAATATAACTCATTAGCAGGTGATGATTATTGCATTTTTACGCGAATATGTTCTCTTTTCCTCTTTTGGTGCCCACTCCAACGGCCACGGGGAGTGGAGAGCGTGTTGTTGCATCTTCTCCTTAAAAAGCGAAATTCAAGGAAATAAATTAATTTATTTCCCCTCTTAAGCCCTAAGTTCAAAAGCATCGAGCGCTAAACACTGAATCCCTAAGCCCTATTACACTACAGCCCTTAACCCTATACCCTAAACCCTAAACGCCAATTCATATTTATTTGCTCTCTCCAAGTCTCGCTACACGGCAGCTGCGGATTCTCCACATTATTATGAATATTCTAAACGCTAAATGAAGCAACAGCTTCTGTCTGAAGTGGTCTTGTGTGCATGCATTTTGCATGCACGCACATTGCATGCATGCATTTTGCATGCAAACAAACATATTGTATGCATGCATGAGGCAATTTTGAAGTCCCGTACAAATTAAACTTGATGCAGAGAATGTTGAAATGCTAATGTAGACGATCTTAAGAATGAAAATCAAGAAGACTTCAGCAATATGCAAGGGAGTATATGTACATTTTTTCTATTTTGTGTTTTAGCCTTTTAATTCGATGGCTTGGAGGAAGATTGTAAACGCAACAGCACAAACAATACAAAATTGTCGCTAAGTCGCAGCCCTTACACTGTCCTAAGATTATTGGCTTTCTTTGCTGAGTTTGTTTTTATTCGTTTCTTTATTTGGCTTGTCTTTCTTTTTCTCCACCAAGCATTCCAGTTTGCTAAGCCCTGCACAACAAGCATATATATATATATATATATGTATATATATATATATATATATGTATATTATATAGTATATATAGTCTATATATTCGCGCATATATTGTAGCATGAAGTATTTAAATATAAAGGCAATTCAGGCGTATGAGCGGGAAAAGGAGAATATTTGCCTTAGTATTTTATTCAGTTCGTGAGATCGGCACAAATTTAATTTGTAAAAACTCCACAAACGCAGTACTTATAATATTTCCTGACAGTCTGCGATAATATTGATGAAAACGCAATCAAGTAAAGACAATTGTTTTCTCCCTCTTTCTTCTTCTCTTTGATATTTCTCCTTTAATATCAATCCCTTATAATAACGAGCGCATGCATTTGGTCTTGACGCTCTGTCTTTTTATCTGTATTTTACATCATTTCCATCTATGCCCGGCATTTTCTTGATGCCTTTCGTAGTATTTCAGAGTTGTATGCAGCGTCCGCCTAATTAAAAGTTATAATTCTCAGCTATATTCTTTTTCTAAACTTTTGGCGCCTGAAACACCTGCGTTCATACAGCTGTTAAAAGATTGCTCTGCAGGAGCTGCTGCCGACTCCCTATGAACGAAGAAGGAAAAAGTAGTAGAAAAAAAGGCTGCCTGCAATGAAATGTGTTCTTTTCGGCGTTTTAAAATGCATTTAAAATGCTTTCAACTGCTTAATTCTTTAAAAATTTCACCACTATGAAACAGATGCAGATACTACACCGCGCTCTTCAGGTGTATGTACACCATGAGCATTTCATGAAATGCGGGTTCGAGGCATTTGCCGGTGCCTTCCAGTGAAAATCCACCCAAAAGAGCCATTTTTAAGCTATAAATGGATTTAATAAGCAAAATGCAATTCTTTTCATCAAAAAAACTAGGAAAAAGTAGCAGTTTCACTTTGGTTTCAGAAGACGCAATGCGCCACCGAAGAAACCGACCAGCCCATTGCCGGGGCTGTACGAATATTTACGCAGACGGAAGGAGCCGCCTTGGCATATATTTGAATATAAATCAAATTTTATACATTTGAGCAGCAATTTGCATTTGAATACACTCATGTTTCTCCTTAACTACTAACAGGACGGCAGGAGCCGCAGAAGCATAGAGGGTCAGACGTCTATCCAGTACGTAAACACCAAAATAAGCATTTTCAACTACAGCCGAAGAAGCCAGCCAAGCGAAAAGCATGCAGCAATCGTAATACAGCTACCTGTGAACCATGGGAGATTAGCGTATTACTGCAGCAGCAACAACAGCAGCAGCACCTACTACAACAGCAGCAGCAGCAGTAACAGCACTCTGCTGCAAAGGACACCAACACTGCACCGGCAGTATCAGCGAACTACAGGGGCTGTGGTTGGGGCGTCATTCTCCCTACCTGTGCAAGCAGCAGCAGCAGCAGCAACAGCAGCAGCACAAGGACGCAATGTGAGGCCATGGAAGCAGCTCCAGCCAATGAGATCAGCCCCAGTAGGGGGGGCTTACCTCCGTAAGCGTTGGGGTGTATATGCAGTTCAAGTGTATGCACGTATCTGCTGCCTTTCATAAAAAGCATCGAAATGCAAAGTAATATTTCGTGCGCTGTTTTGAATACGCTGCAATAAGCCCCAATCTCGCGCTTGCTGCTGCTGCTACTGCTACTGCTGTTAATGCTGCTGCTGCTGCTATTACTGCTGCTGCTGCTGCTGCTACTGTTGCTGTTGCTGCTGCTGACGCTGCTTCTGCCATTATTGCATGCAAGCTGCAGCAAATGCATTGTCTCTTTCGTTTTTCGTGTGTATTTCCCCTCAAATGTTTCAGCTTAGTGGACCGCTTCTGCAGCACCAGCTCTCTGCACATGCTTCAGCAGCAGCAGCAGCAGCAGCGGCAGCAGCATCAGCAGCATCAGCAGCAGCAGCAGCAGCGACAGCAGCAGCTCGACTGGAGTGGCAAAAGGCTGTCTTGGAATTTGAATAAGTCCAAAAAGGGGGCAGGGGAGGGTTCTCCTGTTGCTGCTGCTGCTGCAGCTTCTACTGCAGCTGCCGCTGCTGCAGCAGCAACCGCTATGGATGCTCTTGCTGCTGCTGCAGATGCAGCAGATATTCTCTCACAGCCAAGTACTATCCATTAGTAGGCTCTCCCTTAATAGACTCCTTGCAAGTGCTTCAGGCTGCATGCAGCACAGTAGCGCAGCAGCAGAACAGCTGCAGTTGCTGCTGCACAGCAGCAGCAGAAGCTACTGCTGTGCAGCAGCTGCTGTTGCGGGTGTACGGCAGCTGAACCAAATGCTGCATCATTCCTGCTGCTGCTGTTGCTGCTGCTGCTGCTGCTGCTGCTGTTTGTTTGCAGCATGTGTGCACAGGGAGGATTGGAGTATATGGCGTTTGTTATTTTTACTGCCCCTAAAGAACGTTCGGGTGTATCTGCAGCTCGGCTGCTGTACATGCAGCCAAACGAAGTCTTGCGGTGCGTTGAGGCATATTTTGTTTACTTGTTGCTTGCTGCTGCTTCTATATATATAATATATATATATATATATATATATATTTATTTATTTATATATATATATGCATATATATATACTAGAAGCAAACTACAAGATAGATAATAGATATGATAAGTAAAGTAATATTCAAATACAAAAATATGTGCAGCCAATCATATGCCCACTGTATCTATGAAGACATCTAATGTATGTATATACACAAATATATATATATATATATTTATATTTATATATTTATATATTTATATATATAAATATAAATATATATACATGAATATATTTATATATGCAGCTATATATGTGAACGAATAAATACATAAATGCATATACATAATATGACTATATAAATAAATAATATATATATATAATATATATAATATATATATAAATAATATATATATAATATAT